CCTCGGCCGGCTACTCAAGAGTAGATGGTGATGACCTCCTGGCCACCCCCACGGACCAGCAGCACCCTGTCCAGATGCTCCGTCAGCACCTCCAGGAACTCCATGTCTGGGGGGAGGGTCAAGGCTTGTCGGTGCAGCAGAGGGCCCCTCCCCCCCCGCTGCCCCTCTCCTGCCCAGAGCTTCCCCCACAGGGCAGCCCAGAGAAGCCCAGCCGAAGCTGCAAAAGGGGGACGCTCCGGAAGGCTGAAGGACGCTGGATGCCCAGCCCCACAAGGAGCACAAGTTCTGGGACCCCAGCAGGTTTGGGGGGCGCTGCAGAAGAGACCAAGGGAGGGGGCCCAGGAGAGGGGGCTGGTGCGCTGTGGCTCCAGGGCAGGCCGGCAGGAAAGCCAGCGGAACGGGCTGCCACCCCTTCAGTTCAAAGCTCTCCTGCCTTCAGAGGCTTCGAACCACCATGATGGCTCCTTCCCTGAGCAGAGGGGAGGGGTGGGCTAGATGACCGCTGAGGTGGTTTGCAACTCTGCAGTTCTGACTCAAAAGGGGCTGCCCTGGAGCCCCTGCAGCCTCCATCGCCCCCTTCCCTGGGGGTGTCCTTGGCAGGGACCCCTCCTTCCGACTGGAGGCCGAGTGCAGGAGCCCAGCGTGACACTTCAAGGATGGAGCTCCCCCGAGGAAGGGAAGCTCCCATCATCCGGCAGCCCCCAACCCCTCACCAGCCCCCCCCCCGACTTCCCTCCCCTCTGGCTGAGCCCCACAAGGATACAGTTCTCGTCCCCCTTGCGGTTCCGGGGGGGCCCCGGCATGTTGAGCAGCACCAGCTTCGCCTCCTGCGACTTCCGCACGATGGCCTCATTCAGCCGGACGGCCGTGTGCATCCGCCGGACGTTGGACTGGTTCCTGGGGGAGAAGACGGGCCGGTGGGCGGCCGGCTGGGGCTGCCAGGCCCCTCGGCCTCTGCCCCTCTTGGGCACAGCCTGCCAGGAGGGGGGCCAGCGGGAGGGAGACCCCCTCCCCAAGCATTGCAGAGCAGCACTTACAGATTTTCCCACTCCCTGGCAGCGAGAACGGCGGCAGGAGCAGCGGGAGAGGAAGGAAGGGAGATCGTGTCATTGCCTGTGGAGGGGGGGGGCCACCTGACCCCCCCCCTCACTGACCCCCCCACCCCTGAGTGTCTGCCCCGCCCAGAGGCCAGCGGTGTGGGGGAGGGAGGGGGCTCACGGCTTCATGTTGAAGAAGTCCTTGATGCTCTCTGAGCTGATGGGGCTCTTGGCCTTCATCTTCTCGGCCTCCTTCTCCTTCGTCCAGGTGAGGTGCACCTTCTCAGGGGCGGCCTCAGCTTCGGCCTCGGCCTCGGCCTCCTCCCCCGGGGACTGTGAGATGCCGGAGAAGCTGGTGGCGTTCTTGTCGTGGATCAGCTGCACCTGTTGAGTGGCCGACCAGCGCCTTCATCCCTCCCGCCTGCGGCCCCCTCTGCAGGGCCGGCAGCTCCCGGGAAGGCAGGCAGGCAGCCGCGCAGGGGGAGGGAGCCAGGCAGCCACTGGCCAGGAAAAGCCCGGGAGAGGGAGCACGGTGGGCAGGGCAGCTGTGGGAGGGCAGGCCTGGCCCCAATGCTGGGGAGGAGGCGCTCAGGACCCCCCAGGCAAGCCACCCTTCAGACAGCACACAAGCCAGGCGTGGCTGAACCACAGTTTACTCAGCAGAGGGAATATTCTAGCTTTGTCTGTCACCTTGAACCGTGGCCGGGAGAAGAGGATGACGGGGAGCCCTTGAGGGACGCAGGGGGGGGGAGGAGGTCAGGCTGGCTCACCCCAATCTTTCCTCTTTGGAGAGGAGCCACCCTTGGGGTACAGCTCGAGGAGGAAATGGGGAAGACCCCCGGGGGAGGCATTAGATGTGCGGTCAGCCCAGTGGCCCATGCCAAATGCAGTGGGTGTCTGAGGTGGGGGGGCATTCCCCACACAGGCGGGAGTTCATCCGGAAAGGACAAGAACCCCCCCCCCCAAGGTCTTTTTCAAGAGTGTGCTGGCTGCCCTACAAAATGCCATCTGGGCTCCAGGGCTCCATTTTAGGAAGGGGAGGGAGACCCCGGAGCCCATCCAGAGGAGGGCAAAGAAGCCCCTCCTCAGCTTGGGGGGGGGGGAGAAATCTGAACTGCTTGGGGTGCCTGGGGGGAGGCCGGGTAGCTGCCCCACGGGAGAGGCTTTGGAGTGGGTCAGGAGACAGGACAGCTGCCCAGGGGCTCCTTCACAAGAGAGGGAACCCAGGGGAGGCCTGAGGGGGACAATGGTCTCTCCATGCAGGAGCTCTTTGGATGCAGAAGCATAAAAGAGCCTGAAGGGACCTTGGAGGTCTTCTAGTCCAACCCCCTGCTCAAGCAGGAGACCCTATTTCATGTGGCAGTGGCAGAGCTGGGGAAGGGGGGGGGTCCCCAGCCCTTCCAACCCTGACCCTCTGTGACTGCCATTCGTTCCACCCACCCCCGGGGTGAAGTCCCCCCCCACCCCTACAAGCCACCCTCTCTTGCCGTTGCCATCTCTGATGCCCCCCCTCCCCCGTGCCTGGCCACCTTACCTCTTCTTCTGACTTCTCCTCGCTGTCGCCCACCTGCTCGTCCGGGAGGCGCAGGTGGGTGTTGGGGGGGTTCTTGCGCCGGATGGAGCCCCGGGATTCGTCCGTGATGCTCTGGATCTGTGGCAGAGAGCGAGGCGGCTTCGGACTCCCTGCTCAGATCCCAGCCAGGCTCAAGCAGAGCGGGGGAAGACGCCGGTCACTCCAGCGGACGCCGTTTTTTTTCCTACACAAACGTTCCCCCTCCCCAGGGAACTTTCCTACACACAAGTGCCCCCTCCAGTAAAAATACACAACCCAGACATTGCTGGGTGCTTCTACGCCCTTTGGAGGACGTTTGGCCCAATCTGACCAAGATGCATCCAGAGGGCAGAGATGGGCACTGGAGGGCCAGCGCGTGGCAAGTTAGTAGGGGGTGTTGGCAGCAGCTTTGGCTAGCACTCTGGAGCTTGCCAGCCAAGAAAAATCAGGATTTCCTCTGCTGGCACCCTGTGCCAGGCCAGCCCCTTTCCCGACGTGCCATGGGGTGAGCCGGGGGGCGGGCTCCCTACCTCGCGCTCTCTCTCCGTCTTGGTCAGGTGCATCTGCTTGAGGATCAGCGACCTCTGCTCCATCACCAGGGTCTTCTCGTAGGTGTAGGCCGAGATGTCGCTCTCGTGCTATGGGACCAGAGGGAGCAGCGTCCGCCTTCAGCGGGGCTGGATTCGATGGGCACCAGCAAGGGGGTCTCCCTTGGCAGAGGCCCACCAGAGCCTCTAACCCACTTTATGACAGAGGTGGGGAAAACCTGAACTCGTAACCGGCCTGGCCAAGAGACAACGGGGGTCTCCCTGCCACTCGGGCTGAGAAGGGGAAGCTGGGGGGGGAGGGCGGCCCTGGGCTACTTGCTTCTTTCAGCAGCCCCACCAAAAGGCAGGTGTGTCGGGGGCTAGCATGGCCTGGGGGGGAACTACAGGGGCAGGTACGGACAAGAGGAACTCAGCCCCCCACCGCCCCACCTCACCATCTCCACCACTTCCACCTCGGCCGTGATGCGCAGGTGGTAGAGGAAGGTGGTCAAATCCTTCTTCATCTGGATGCTGTTGTCGTCCATCTGGGCCACCGTGAAGATTCGCATCTTGCACTTGCGCCAGACCTGCACGGAGACACATCCCGGACAGCTCAGTCACGCGGACCCCCTCTCGGGCCACTCCCCCACCTCCGGGGTGCTGGGTCCCTGGCAAGAAGGGCCCCTCCCTGCCTGGGCGTCCGGGGGCCCGGAAGGTGGTGGTGCCAAGGGAAGGGAGGCCCCCGAGGCTGCCCTGGCATGCCAGCCCCCCCCGGGGGCACCTTGTGCTGGCGCAGGAGGAAGGGCAGGAGCATCAGCATCCCCCCGTCATGCACGATCCACCAGACGTCGATGTGGCCCTCCGAGAAGCGCTCCGTGTTGGCCGGGAACATGGCCACGTTTTTGGCCACCAGCAAGGCCATGTGGCCAGCCGTGGTCTCTCGCACCAGCTCTGGGGGAAACAAGCGAAGGGGAGGACTTGCCAAGATGCCCAGGGAGGGAGGGAATCCTCAAGGAATGCTGGTCCCAGGCAAGCCCCCCCCAGCATGGAGGAGGCATCGGAAGGGCAGCAATGCCGCAGGGGGAACTGAGGAAGGAGCAGCATTCCATGCAGAGGGCAGGTTCCCCAAAGGCTGAAAGCGGCCTGCAGAAGGGAGCCTGGAGATGCTGCCATTAGGACTGGGGGGGGTACAGGGAGCCCCTAGGACAGTGGTGGCGAACCTATGGCACGCGTGCCACAGGCGGCACCCTCTCTGTGGGCACGCGCGCCATCGCCCCAGTCTTAGGCCTTCAGCTGGGTTTTATAAAACCTTTTTGCTGTAGGCCTCCGCCGCCGTGTGCAAAAAAAAAAAAGGTTCGATCAATCAGTCAATTTCAACTTCTCGTGGGAAAAAAAAAGATCTTGCAAAGTTGGAATTGATTGATTGAACTTTTTAGTCCCACCCAGTCTGCCGTTTCCACCGCAGCCACGCCCACCCAATGGGCCACACCCACCCAATTGGCCACACCCACCCGGCACCTGATGATACATAAGTGGATTTTGGGTTGCAGTTTGGGCACTCGGTCTCTAAAAGGTTCGCCATCACTGCCCTAGGACGCCCCTCCCTTGGCCAGACAAGCCCCCCCTGAGGAGTTGGACAAGGGGACCCTTCCCCGGCTAGAGGGCGGCCGCTTTCTCCCTGCAGCCCCTCGGGGGGGGGGGGGACGACCCTCCGCTTCTCTCACCAATGAAGTTCCTCCAGGTCTGGTGATCCTCCTTGCTGCGCCAGCTGCGTGGCCNCCTCGGCCGGCTACTCAAGAGTAGATGGTGATGACCTCCTGGCCACCCCCACGGACCAGCAGCACCCTGTCCAGATGCTCCGTCAGCACCTCCAGGAACTCCATGTCTGGGGGGAGGGTCAAGGCTTGTCGGTGCAGCAGAGGGCCCCTCCCCCCCCGCTGCCCCTCTCCTGCCCAGAGCTTCCCCCACAGGGCAGCCCGGAGAAGCCCAGCCGAAGCTGCAGGAGGGGGACGCTCCGGAAGGCTGAAGGACGCTGGACGCCCAGCCCCACAAGGAGCACAAGTTCTGGGACCCCCGCAGGTTTTGGGGGCGCTGCAGAAGAGACCAAGGGAGGGGCCCCGAGAGAGGGGGCTGGTACGCTGTGGCTCCAGGGCAGGCCGGCAGAAAGCCAGCGGAACGGGCTGCCACACCTTCAGTTCAAAGCTCTCCTGCCTTCAGAGGCTTCGAACCACCATGATGGCTCCTTCCCTGAGCAGAGGGGAGGGGTGGGCTAGATGACCGCTGAGGTGGTTTGCAACTCTGCAGTTCTGACTCAAAAGGGGCTGCCCTGGAGCCCCTGTAGCCTCCATCGCCCCCTTCCCTGGGGGTGTCCTTGGCAGGGACCCCTCCTTCCGACCGGAGGCCGAGGGCAGGAGCCCAGCGTAACACTCCGAGGATGGAGCTCCCCCGAGGAAGGGAAGCTCCCATCATCCGGCAGCCCCCAACCCCCCACCAGCCCCCCCCCAGACTTCCCTCCCCGCTGGCTGAGCCCCACAAGGATACAGTTCTCGTCCCCCTTGCGGTTCCGGGGGGGCCCCGGCATGTTGAGCAGCACCAGCTTCGCCTCCTGCGACTTCCGCACGATGGCCTCGTTCAGCCGGACGGCCGTGTGCATCCGCCGGACATTGGACTGGTTCCTGGGGGAGAAGACGGGCCAGTGGGTGGCCGGCTGGGGCTGCCAGGCCCCCCGGCCTCTGCCCCTCTTGGGCACAGCCTGCCAGGAGGGGGGCCAGCGGGAGGGAGACCCCCTCCCCAAGCATTGCTGAGCAGCACTTACAGATTTTCCCACTCCCTGGCAGCGAGAACGGCGGCAGGAGCAGCGGGAGAGGAAGGAAGGGAGATCGTGTCATTGCCTGTGGAGGGGGTGTCCACCTGACCCCCCTCCCTCACTGACCCCCCCCACCCCCGAGTGTCTGCCCCGCCCGGAGGCCAGCGGTGTGGGGGAGGGAGGGGGCTCACGGCTTCATGTTGAAGAAGTCCTTGATGCTCTCTGAGCTGATGGGGCTCTTGGCCTTCATCTTCTCGGCCTCCTTCTCCTTCGTCCAGGTGAGGTGCACCTTCTCGGGGGCGGCCTCAGCTTCGGCCTCGGCCTCGGCCTCCTCCCCCGGGGACTGGGAGATGCCGGAGAAGCTGGTGGCGTTCTTGTCGTGGATCAGCTGCACCTGTTGAGTGGCCGAGGAGCGCCTTCACCCCTCCCGCCTGCGGCCCCCTCTGCAGGGCCGGCAGCTCCCGGGAAGGCAGGCAGGCAGCCGCGCAGGGGGAGAGAGCCAGGCAGCCACTGGCCAGGAAAAGCCCGGGAGAGGGAGCACGGTGGGCAGGGCAGCTGTGGGAGGGCAGGCCTGGCCCCAATGCTGGGGAGGAGGCACTCAGGACCCCCCAGGCAAGCCACCCTTCAGACAGCACACAAGCCCAGGCGTAGCTGAACCACGCTCTACTCAGCAGAGCGAATATTCTAGCGTTGTGTGTCACCTTGAACCGTGGCCGGGAGAAGAGGATGACGGGGAGCCCTTGAGGGACGCAGGGGGGGGAGGAGGAGGTCAGGCTGGCTCACCCCAATCTTTCCTCTTTGGAGAGGAGCCACCCTTGGGGTACAGCTCGAGGGGGAAATGGGGAAGCCCCCCGGGGGAGGCATTAGATGTGCAGTCAGCCCAGTGGCCCATGCCAAATGCAGTGGGTGTCTGAGGTGGGGGGCATTCCCCACACAGGCTGGAGTTCATCCGGAAGGGACAAGAACCCCCCCCACCCAAGGTCTTTTTCAAGAGTGGGCTGGCCGCCCTACAAAATGGCATCTGGGCTCCAGCGCCCCATTTTAGGAAGGGGAGGGAGACCCCGGAGCCCATCCAGAGGAGGGCAAAGAAGCCCCTCCTCAGCTTGGGGGAAAAAAATCTGAACTGCTGGGGGGAGTCCGGGTAGCTGCCCCACAGGAGAGGCTTTGGAGTGGGTCAGGAGACAGGACAGCTGCCCAGGGGCTCCTTCACAAGAGAGGGAACGCCAGGGGAGGCCTGAGGGGGACAATGGGTCTCCATGCAGGAGCTCTTTGGATGCAGAAGCATAAAAGAGCCTGAAGGGACCTTGGAGGTCTTCTAGTTCAACCCCCTGCTCAAGCAGGAGACCCTATTTCATGTGGCAGTGGCAGAGCTGGGGAAGGGGGGGGTCCCCAGCCCTTCCAGCCCTGACCCTCCGTGACTGCCATTCGTTCCACCCACCCCCGGGGTGAAGTCCCCCCCCCAGCCGTACAAGCCACCCTCTCTTGCCATTGCCATCTCTGATGCCCCCCCCCCGTGCTTGGCCACCTTACCTCTTCTTCTGACTTCTCCTCGCTGTCGCCCACCTGCTCGTCCGGGAGGCGCAGGTGGGTGTTGGGGGGGTTCTTGCGCCGGATGGAGCCCCGGGATTCGTCCGTGATGCTCTGGATCTGCGGCAGAGAGCGAGGCGGCTTCGGACTCCCTGCTCAGATCCCGGCCAGGCTCAAGCAGAGCGGGGGAAGACGCCGGTCACTCCAGCGGACGCCATTTTTTCCCTACACAAACGTTCCCCCTCCCCAGGGAACTTTCCTACACACAAGTGCCCCCTCCAGTAAAAATACACAACCCAGACATTGCTGGGTGCTTCTGTGCCCTTTGGAGGACGTTTGGCCCAATCTGACCAAGATGCGTCCAGAGGGCAGAGATGGGCACCAGAGGGCCAGTGCGTGGCAAGGCAGTAAGGGGTATTGGCAGCAGCTTTGGCTAGCACTCCAGATGTTGTCAGCCAGGAAAAATCAGGATTTCCTCCGTTGGCACCCTGTACCAGGCCAGCCCCTTTCCTGACGTGCCAGGGGGTGAGCCGCGGGGGGCTCCCTACCTCGCGCTCCCTCTCCGTCTTGGTCAAGTGCATCTGCTTGAGGATCAGCGACCTCTGCTCCATCACCAGGGTCTTCTCGTAGGTGTAGGCCGAGATGTCGCTCTCGTGCTGTGGGGCCAGAGGGAGTAGTGTCTGCTTTCAGCGGGGCTGGATTCGATGGGCACCAGCAGGGGGGTCTCCCTTGGCAGAGGCCCACCAGAGCCTCTAACCCACTTTATGACAGAGGTGGGGAAAACCTGAACTCTTAACCGGCCTGGCCAAGAGACAACGGGGGTCTCCCTGCCACTCAGGCTGAGAAGGGGAAGCTGGGGGGGGAGGGCGGCCCTGGGCTACTTGCTGCTTTCAGCAGCCCCACCAAAAGGCAGGTGTGTCGGGGGCTAGCATGGCCTGGGGGGGAACTACAGGGGCAGGTACGGACAAGAGGAACTCAGCCCCCCACCGCCCCGCCTCACCATCTCCACCACCTCCACCTCGGCCGTGATGCGCAGGTGGTAGAGGAAGGTGGTCAAATCCTTCTTCATCTGGATGCTGTTGTCGTCCATCTGGGCCACCGTGAAGATTCGCATCTTGCACTTGCGCCAGACCTGCACGGAGACACATCGCGGCCAGCTCAGTCACGCGGACCCCCTCTCGGGCCACTCCCCCACCTGGGCGTCCGGGGGCCCGGAAGGTGGTGGTGCCAAGGGAAGGGAGGCCCCCGAGGCTGCCCTGCCACGCCAGGCCCCAGCCACCCCCGGGGGCACCTTGTGCTGGCGCAGGAGGAAGGGCAGGAGCATCAGCATCCCCCCGTCATGCACGATCCACCAGACGTCGATGTGGCCCTCCGAGAAGCGCTCCGTGTTGGCCGGGAACATGGCCACGTTTTTGGCCACCAGCAAGGCCATGTGGCCAGCCGTGGTCTCTCGCACCAACTCTGGGGGAAAGAAGCGAAGGGGAGGACTTGCCAAGATGCCCAGGGAGGGAGGGAATCCTCAAGGAATGCCGGTCCCAGGCAAGCACCCCCCCCCCAGCATGGAGGAGGCATCAGAAGGGCAGCAATGCCGCAGGGGGAACCGAGGAAGGAGGAGCATTCCATGCAGAGGGCAGGTTCCCCAAAGGCTGAAAGCGGCCTGTAGAAGGGAGCCTGGAGATGCTGCCATTAGGACTGGGGGGGGGGGGTACAGGGAGCCCCTAGGACAGTGGTGGCGAACCTATGGCACGCGTGCCACAGGCGGCACCCTCTCTGTGGGCACTCGCGCCATCGCCCCAGTCTTAGGCCTTCAGCTGGGTTTTATAAAACCTTTTCGGTTTAGGCCTCCGCCGCCATGTGCAAAAAAAAAAAAAAAGGTTCAATCAATCAGTCAATTTCAACTTCTCGCTGGAAAAAAAAAGGTCTTGCAAAGTTGGAATTGATTGATTGAACTTTTTAGTCCTACCCAGTCTGCCGTTACCACTGCAGCCACGCCCACCCAATGGGCCACGCCCACCCAATGGGCCACACCCACCCGGCACCCGACGATACATAAGTGGATTTTGGGTTGCAGTTTGGGCACTCGGTCTCTAAAAGGTTCGCCATCACTGCCCTAGGACGCCCCTCCCTTGGCCAGACAAGCCCCCCTGAGGAGTTGGACAAGGGGACCCTTCCCCGGCTAGAGGGCGGCCGCTTTCTCCCTGCAGCCCCTGGGGGGTGGGACGACCCTCCGCTTCTCTCACCAATGAAGTTCCTCCAGGTCTGGTGGTCCTCCTTGCTGCGCCAGCTGCGTGGCCAGCCGACCAGCACCGTGTTGTGCTGCAGGCCTCCCAGGCCGCTGGACTGGATGAGGTGCGACATGCCGTCCCGGACGTTGCAAGAGGTCACCACCTGGCAAAAGCCCTTGACCTTCTCGGCCTCCATCAGCCGCTGGATCGACTGGGCGGGGGGAGCAGAGAGGGGGAGGTCATGCCCTTGCATCCGGGGCAGCCCTTCTCCCCAGGAGGAGCCCCCCGGGGCTGTTGGGGCAGAGGGGGAGGTCTCCTGCGGCCAGTTTTACTGGGCTCACCTCCTCGGCCCGCTGGACCTGCAGGTGGTTGTCCAGGAAGGTGCCCTCCAGCACGGAGCCCACAATGGTCAGCCCCTTGCCGGCCTTGAGCTGGTTGGTGAGGGAGAGCAGCTGCGGGTGAGCGACGTTCTGGTCCTGATCCACCCGGACGAGCACCAGCAGCTGCGGCCTGGGGAGAGAGAAGCCGGAGGTCTTTAGCCGGGCCCTGGCACCAGCCGAGCCCCCCCGCCGGTCTCTCCGCCTCTCCGCCTCCAAGGCTGAGGACGTTCCCGGCCTGACCTGCCCCCGTCCAGCCACCTCCCCCCCCGTCCTCTTCTGCCCTGGATCACCAGCTGTGCCAGTTGCCAGAATAGCCCCCCCCCCGACCTCCTGCTGAGCCTCCCCCCCAATTCCTCCGTCTCTTCTTTCTTTATCACCAGCTCTTTCCCTCTGCAGGACCCTAGGAAGGGCAGATCTGTGCCAGGGCCCCCCACCCCCCTCTGCGCAGGGATGCCATTCACACAACAAGCTCATCTTTAGATTTGATCTCGGCTGCCGGGGCCAGCAAGACCCACCTGGAGCCGGGAAGGAGCTCCGATTTTGCTCCTCAGGGTCACAACAGCACTTTACGGTGTGCCAGCCCACCTTCCTGGGCTCCGGGTGCCCCCCTAGGAAAGGGGGCAGCTGCTGCAGAGATGCCAAGGCTGGCCCAGCAGGGCAAAATATTTGTATGTTACTTATATGTAAGGGTGTAGGTCTATACATATGTTGTATATAGTGTGTTTAAATATGTGTTGTGTATGTGTACACTTTTGAGAGCAAGCAACTAAATTTCATTATTAATGTTTGAATAGCTGGAAGGGACCTTGGAGGTTTTCTAGTCCAGCCCCCCGCTCAAGCAGGAGAACCTATACCGGGGGTATCAAACTCAATTTCATTGAGGGCCACATCAGCACTGCGGTTGTCCTCAGGGGGCCGGGTGTGCGTGGCCAGGGTGTGTGCGGCCTACTGGGTGGGCGTGGCCAACTCTACATCTTTCGCGTCAAGGGTGCCTGTGGGGGCCTGGGCACGAGTGGGACAGATCTGAGGGTCTCTGGCAGAAGGGGGTGGGACCGGGGCAAGTGCCAAGGCATGGTCCACTGGAGGAGCCTCACTCTTCCTCTCAGGCCATGGGGGGGGGCTTATGAAGCTAAGACTGAATGTGTTTCAGCATAGATGGCCACCACAAAATTGTACATTGGCTCCCGGCCGGCCTGGACCAGGGCCAAGGCAGAGGGGGCCGTTCCCTCACTGTTTCCAGGATGGCTTCGCGGGCCACATGAAACCACTTCGCGGGCCGCATTCGGCCCCCGGGCCTTGTGTTTGACATGTCTGCCCTATACCATCTCAGACAAGTGACTGTCTAGCCTTTTCTTAAAAATCTCCAGTGATGGAGGCAACTTCTGTTCCACTGCTTAATTGTGCCATTGTGCCCACAGTAAAAAATGACAATAAAGGTTCTCTCTCTCTCTCTCTCTCTCTCTCTCTCTCTCAAGACTCACCTCCAGTTCTTGGTGTGGGGCGGCCCCTCCTCCAACCGCAGCAGGGCGTAACGAGCTGCGCTGAGCGAGAGGCCTCGGATGCCATCCCCCCACTCCTTTTCTGCTCTGGAAGAACAAGTGGGGAGGGGGCTCTGTGAGCTTTGCCCCATGCACCCCCCCAGCGTCCCTCAGGAGGGGGAGACATCCCCTCCCCAAGAAGGGGCCAAGGCCCATCCGGCCACCACTTAGCCACAGCACCACCCCTCCCTCCCCCCCTCAAAACAGGAGATGGAACATTCTGCCCACCTGGCAGGGATGCCGGGAGGGTCGGGGGGGCAGGGAGGGGCACTTACCCTCGGTACTCGATGTACTTGTAGATGAGTCCCGCGATCAGCATGGCGACCAGGGCGTAGTACCAGGAGCAGATGAACATCAGTGCCAGGCAGAGGCTCATGCCCAGGAAGGAGAGGGTCCTGCGAGACCCCGGGGGCCACGCTGAGTCAAGAGGTCACGCACCTCCGGCCCCTCCCCCCCAGTGGACTCCCCAGGGCTGCAGGACCCAAAGTGCCTCTCCCCCCCCATAGGCGAAGGAGGGCACCCACCAGTGGTAGTAGCGGAAGCGTGGTCGCCAGTTGGGGGTCCTCAGCAGCGTCTGAACCGCACAGGCCAGGTTGACAAACATGTAGCACATCAGGAAGAACCTGGGGGGGAGGGAGGGTTGCTCAGCGTTGGGGGGACGGAGAAGCTCCCTCCCCCACCTTGCAAGGACGGAGCCCCCTCCCCCAGCTTGCAAGGGGGATCCCTGGCCTCCTTTAGCTCCCCTGCCATCCTTCTAGGCTCCGGAGGCGCCCAGTTTGGGGGGGGCGTACATGGAGAGGATGGGGGCCACCTCGTCCAGGGAGGCGATCAGGATCCCGATCTCGCAGATGCAGGCCGTGAGCAGGAGGGCCCAGGTGGGCTCCCCATTCGCCTTGCCGTGGCCGAAGACCTGCGGAGGAAGCGTAGAAGGAGGGTTAGGGGTTAGGTGGGCCAGACCACCCCCAGCCACAGCCCGCACTTTCCTCCCCTCAGACTGAATTCCTCCTTGCAGCTCCAAGCATTCCCAGATCTTTGGAAGGGGGGGGGCAGCAGCTGTTGCAGCCCCTACTGTCTGCCCCTTGCAAGTCCTGGCCCCCTTTGCTGTGGGCTGCACTTGCCTGCTGAGACGGCCTGGACTGGCGGCAGCTGCCCAAAGGGGTGGAGGGCAGGGGGTGGTATAAGGAGGAATGGGGAAGACGGGGTGGGCACAGAACCTGGTAGTGGGCTATGGGTGGGCAGCTGGGGGGGAGGAGACAGGAGGGGCAGGAGAAAGGGGCAGCTTCTGCAGTTCCAAGAAGGCTCCACGCCCCTTTGTGCCATTCAGGTGACCCTGAGGGCACAGATAAACCTCCAAGGGGCCTCAACGACTCTCAGAGAGAGTCCAAATGACCGGATGACTGCAAGGAATATAAATCTTTCCATCCTCCACCATTCAATCAGAACCGAAGAAGCTTCTGGGATGAGAAGTGAAACAGCTTCAAGGAAAAAACAAAAAAAGTCCAGTTGACTTGGGACAATCATGGTAATGCCTGAGAATCTCCACAGACACCTTGCTGCGCTATTAAAGGTACCCTGGTGATGGAGGTGAATGCAGGTGTCTTTTCTACGCAGACAACGCCACGTTGCTGGCTAAGTAAGCAAATGGTTTGCTGGGAATATTAAGTAGATCCCATGGAGGATCTGAAAATTAATATATCAGACAGAAATTGCTGTATTTGACCAGGAAAATCAAATAAAAGATGAAAACGTACAGCAGGTAAATGGATTTACAAACGTAGGTAGAATATTTATTAAAGATGTAAAGATTTTAAGAGGGGCAAATGTTGACAGAAAGATTATACGTGATTGTTATGAGGAATGACTGTGCAGTCCTTGGTGCTCTCTGAGCCTGAGTGAGTGTGGAGTCTGCCCCCTGTGTGTACGCAGCGGTTTGCTCTACCAGGGTTGCTGGTGTGTTCTTTCTCCTTCGCAGTCCCTTGATTATGGTATTGTTTTCTGCTTGACTGTTTGTCTGGTGATAATCCCTGCTTATCTGGATGTCTGGACACCGCAGCAAGCCAGAACAGCAGAAAAGGGAAACAGACCATCTACACATCTTCCCAAAAAAATATGGATAGCTGTGCAACTTTATCAAAAAGTGCCTGAGAGTCAAGACTGAACCGGTAGTGCATGAATCGACAATGAAACTCAGGATTTAAAAAAAACTATCCAGATGTTGGGGGTGGGGTGATCAAGAGAGGAGAAAACGAAGCTATTCGGTGAAGACGAGGGAAGGAGAGGACGCTGAAGGCTCAAGAGCAAGGAAGCTGCGGCCGAACGGAGCTGATTAGACCAGGGGTGGGCAACCTTGGCTCTTTTATGACTCGTGGACTTCAACTCCCAGAATTCTGGCTCAGGAATTCTGGGAATTGAAGTCCACGAGTCATAAAAGAGCCAAGGTTGACTACCCCTGGATTAGACACCCTTAAAAACAAGAGTGGGGCTTGGATGGCCAGAGAGTCCCAAAGCACTATAAGGAAATCATTGAGGGAGGTTTCACTGGTTACACTCCATCCTGGTCCGCACAAACAAGCCAAGCCCCTTCCGTGGGATGCAGGCAGCACACAAAACCACGCACTCTCCGGTCCGTGGAAAAAGCTCTCTCCATGGAACCGGTCCCTGGGTCCCAAAAGGTTGGGGACATCTGGACTAGATGACCTCTGAGGTCTCTTGCAATTCTAGGAAACAGAGACTGGGTGCCTGATGATCAGGGACGCTGCAGTAGCAGATTCCTCTCCTGCCAAGGGCTGGACTAGATAACCTCTAAGGTACCTGCCTGGGAAGGGGGGCAGGTCTCGGCCGAGAGGCCGGGTTACCTCCCACCAGGCTGCATCTAGCGGTGCTTTGAGGGAGGCATCGTTTGCAAAATGCTCCTTTGCAGGAGCAGCGATTCAAGTCAGCCGCTCACTGGTTGAGTGAGGGGTGACATGGGGGGGGAAGGGTGATCCTCCCTCCCCCCTTGCGGTCTGTGCCCGAAGGGCGAGAGGACGGATGTCTCCTTGCATCAACCGGAGGCTATTCTGTCTCCAGATGGTCGTGGCAGGCGAGGCGCGCTCCGGTTGACTAGCGGAAGGGGAGTCATCGCTCTGGCCTTGCGGAGGGCAGCTTCCCTGGACAGGCTGCAGCAGCCCCCTCTGTGCCTGCCCGGCTCAGGCCTCACACAGGTCTTGCCCATTCACAGCAGGAGCTTAGCTACTGGGGGGCCCCGTGTGGCCCTCGGAATCGGTGGCCCTGAACCACTTTCTGGGGTGCACAGAAGTGCCCACCAGCCTTTTCCCGGAGGTGGCATGTGTCAGTGCTGCCAGCCTGCTTGGCCCCACTGATGCTTCACTGATGCCAGACTGCCATGAACCGTGTGTGTGTGTGTGTGTGTGTGTGTGTGTGTGTGTAGGGAGCCAAGGGGGGGGAGGGGGAAGACCAGAAACCAAAACCACTCCAACTGCCCGCCCAGTGCCACAGGCATGGGAATGGAACGCAGACCGTCACGGAGCCCACAAAGCACCAGAACTGTTACCAAAACAATCTGAATACAATTGGAGGGGGGGGGAAGGGGGGGAGGACCCGGGACAGAGGAAAGTCAGAAGGCAGTTTTTGCTCACAAACTCAGTTCTAGCTTTTTCCTACCCCTTGTAACTGCTTGGCTTTAGTACAGGGGTGTCAAACTCAATTTCACTGAGGGCCACATCAGCATTGCGGTTGCCCTTGGGGGGCTGGGTGGGTGTGGCCAGAGTGGGTGCAGCCTACTGGGTGGGCATGGATGGAGTGGGTGTGGCCTACTGGGTGGGCGTGGCCAGCTCTACATCATTCACGTCAAGGGTGCCTATGGGGGGGCCTGGGCAGGAGTGGGACAGATCTGAGGGTCTCTGGCAGAAGGGGGTGGGACCAGGGCTAGTGCCAAGATGGCCCCCACAAAATTGTACATTGGCTCCCGGCCGGCCTGGGCCAGGGCCAAGGCAGCAGGGGCCGTTCCCTCACTGTTTCCAGGATGGCTTCGTGGGCCACATGAAACCACTTCACGGGCCGCATCCGGCCCCCAGGCCTTGTGTTTGACATGTCTGCTTTAGTAAGTTGAAGGCTCTTTCTCCCTAAATGTCTGGTCCAACATTAGGCCCGGTCTTGCCCGCGGGGAGCCTGCCTGGCTGGCCCTGGCCCGCCTGCGCCCGCCCACCCCACCTACCCGGAGGAAGGGCACGATGCCGTCCCGCGAGATGGCTTGCAGCAGGCGAGGGGCCCCCGTGAGGCTCTGCAGACCGGCTCCGCAGGTGGAGAAGAAGGAGCCGAAGACGATCACCCAGGGGGAGGGCCAGGCCAGCGTGCCCACCACCAGGTTCCCACTGACGGCCTCGCCGAACCTGAAAGGGAAGAGGGTGGTGAAGCCCCCTCCCTCCAGCCTCCCAGGGACCAGGGAGCCGTCCTCGCCTTGGCCGGAGAAGGCTTCCCCTGCACAACTGCAGAGTGCCTTTTCCAGACCCGGCTGGTGCCAGGAGGGAGAAAGTTTCCCACCTCCAGTCCCCCTCAGCCCTGACAGCTGGTTATGCCACCTGGGGGGGCCCTTGAGGCAGACCTGGGTTCCCCCCCCGAGAGGCAGTGTGGAGGGTATGCCGGTGGGAGGAGGGGGCCCTTCCTGGGGGGGGGCAGGCACTCACTTGTCCCGGAGCACCACGCCCTCAATGCAGGCGCCAAACAGAATCACGGAGCTGATGTCTGTGGGGGCATGAAGGAAGCAAGGCAGGCAGGGAGGCAGGAGGGGCACCAACATCAGTGAGTTGGGCCACGGTGGCCAGGAACCCCCCCTCTCTCACACACAGTACCCAGAGGAGGCTGGCTGCCCCACGGGGCCACTTTCCTCCCTGACAGCCCCCAGCCCCCCTCCCTCCCTCTCCCCACGTGGGCTCAGCTTTTGTAACCCCGCAAGGGAGGCCAGCCCCCCCTCCAGAGAGAGGCTCTGCCCGCAGCACCAGGGCCTGGCCTAGGGCCCGACGCACACCCCATAGAGACTTTGGGGGTGCCTGTCCGGAGGAGCCCCGTCACTCTGCGGCCCACACAAAGGGCTCTCGAGGCGAGCTGGGAAGAGGCAGCTCCCTTCGCCCGGCAGCTCCCCTGTGCCAGCCTCTGCCCGTGCCAGCCAAGGATACAGACGGCTGAGGTGGTGGCGATGGCGAGGATGGTGCCCGTAGGGATCGACTTTTGAGCATCCCGGAGATCCCCAGACCGGTTGGAGCCAGCCATGATCCCTGCAGAAAGGAGCCGGGGGTTCAGGTCTGCCTTCCCCTGGTGCCGGTCCTCCGGTTAGGGAAGGGGGGCCCTGCATCAGAAGCCCCCTCCCCCAATCTAGGCAGGAGGACGAGGAGGAGGCGGCAGAAGGACCAGAGGGAAAAGCTGCTGGCCCTGCTTTTGTGTGTGTGTGTGTGTGTCTGTGGGGGGGGGGAGAACGGCCAAGGCCCGATGCTGCCGGACTCCTGGCCAGAGGCTGGGCTGGGCCAGGGCAGGTGGAGGAAGAGCCTCCGATCAAGGGAAGATCTGACGCTGCACTACCTCGAAGGGCTGGTGTCCAACTTGCATGTCTGAAAGCCCCTCGTCCCTGGTCCAGGCATTGCGGGGAGCAAAGGGTCTCCAGCCAGCCACCTTCCCAGGAGCCCCCCCACTCAGGCTGGCCAGGCGGGAGAGCCCCCCCTTCAGCTGGGGGCCAAGCGCTGGACGTCCGCTCCAGGAAAGGGGCCCCAGGATTCCCAGCCCTTCCCAGGAAAGCCTCTCACCGGTGACGGAAGGGAAGTAGATGCCGACCAGGAGGGTGAAATAGGAAGTCATGTCGCTGAAGACGTAGGGCTGGTCCAGGTCCAGCAGCCCCTCGGAGGTGGGCGTAGAGGTCATCCCCGCCCGCTCAATAATCACCCCCTTCGGCAAGTAGGTGCTCCAGAGGTTTTCTGTGAAGAGAGGATGACGCAGCTCCAGGACCCATCCTCCCCTGCTGGGGTCCTCCTCACCCACACCTTCCTTTCCCTCCCACCCCCAAAATAGGATTCCTCCCCTGGAAAAACACACACACACCCAGGACGGTGGAGGCTTTGTGGGTCAAGTGGAGCATCCTGTCCCCCAAATCCTCCACCAGATCTAAAGAGGCCCCTGTGGACGGCGGCTCTCCCCCCACTGCCCTCAAGAAGAGGGCCCAGGTGGCATTCCCCTCCCCCCCATGAATCAGGAGACCCCAAACCCACGAGGGTCAACCCCCCCCCCCCCCGTAAGAGGCTCCTTGTACCTTGGATGAGACCGGAAGCCGCTCCAGGGATGCCCTGAATCTCCGTGACGTTGTTCTGGCTGAAATACTCGTCGCAGGTGGCATTCAGCAAGCGAGAAGAGCAGAAGAGCGCCCACAGCTCCGAGCCCATCGTCTCGTTGCCCACCTGGACCATCTTGGTACACACGTCAAAGCCGTGGCGGGACAGAGTCCGGTTGCCCAAGAGGCAAATCCTGGCCAAAACACACGAGCCGAAGGGAGGCTGAGGGCTGCTGACCGGCTCCTCAACTGGGCCGGGCAAGCCCCCCCCCAGTTCCACCCCCTTTCCCTCCCCATCTCAGGCAGTGACAGCCTTTGCAATGGGGCATTTCCAGGCAGCCAGCTGGGGCCTCAGACTCTAAGGGGTGTGTTGCACTCTGCTTCTCCCAGGAGGCTTCTCTGCCCCCCCCACACACAACAGCCCAGTGGAGAGATGGCCTGGCAGGCGGGTGGGATCCCCTTGTGCCATCCAGCCTCTCCTCAACTCCTCTAAATCTCTAGGCCCCCAACTGCACTCTGGCCCTGGGGCCCCTCGGTGGGAAGATGGGGCCGACGTTCCTGCTGCCCCTCGCCCCCTTCCCTCCCTTGGGGCAAGGGAGGACCCAAGTAAACAGGAGGAAGAGAGAAGGAAAGCACCAGAGAGGATCCAGTTTAGGGCAGCTCCTCTCTACGCCTCTCCATCGCCTTTCGGTCCTTACAGCCTCTGGGCACGTGCAGAGAGAACTTCGCCCTCTGCCTTTCCTCTCTCGGATCTCCCTCCTCTCTTGGGCAGGATCCGATCAAAAACCCAGCTGTCTCCTCCTCCCTCCCTCCCTCCCTCCCTGCAGCTTCACCAACCAGTCTCCCACTCGGTGCCAGGGTGGGACCCCTCCCCCACCCCAGCCAACTTTCCAAGGGAAAATTCGCCCCAGGACAATTCAACAAATACAAACGTTAAATTAATTTCGATGGAACCGTGGCCAATAATAATAAAACAAAGTCAATCCAGAAATGCAAGAATCACAATAATTTCGACAAAAACAGGGTCACCAATAATAAAAGTAGCGGAATGAAATGATTAATATACTGTCGAATTGTTCCGTGGCGAGTTGTGCTAGACCAGAGGTCCCCAAACCCTGGGCCACAGTCCACTACCGGGCCGTGGCCAGTTTGGAAGTGGGCTGCGTGAACAGCGGGCTGGCACAGGCACGCACCAGCCCCCCCGCTTGCCCGGCCAGTTCCCCCCCCCTGGGTGGCCAAGCCATACAGGCTGGGGACGGCTGTCCCAGACCCTTCAGTACTGCTCATTTGCTCTCTCTAGTCCAGAGACCCCCCCAACCTTTTGGGCACCAGGGACCGGTTACATGGTGAGAGGTTTTTTTCCATGGACAGGAGGGTGCGTGGTTTTGTGTGCTGCCTGCATCCTGTGGATGGGGCTTTGCTTGTTTGTGCTGATCGGTTGCTGGCATGCTACGGCCAGGTACTGGTCCACTGGTTGGGGACCCCTGCTCTAGAGGGCCAAAGCGCCTCCAGGGGCTTCTTCCTGACGGACAGGCCCTCCTCCCGTGTTCAGTCTGCCTCGGTTCAGCCCCGCTAATTCTCAGCCTGATGCCTTTTGCCACCCCTGCTTTTTAAGCGCATCCCTGGCAGTCAATTGACTTCACTTCAGCTGTCATTTCAGCTGTCAATTTCTCTGTAACCAAGGAAGGCTCTTTTGCACCCCTGGATTGTCTTTTCAACCAAGTTTCCTTCCTCATCGCAGACCAAGAACGTCTCCTTCCAACCGGCATCTGCACACCTTACAACTTCTCCATCCGCTTCTGACCCTTTACAAGCACTCCACCAAAACACCCCCATTTATTTTTTCACAATTGCTGTCTAAGTTACAATTCTCTGCTCCTATTTCCTCATCCAACACAACAGCCTTCCTCTTGCTACTGTATATTGATTTTCAGATTCTCAACCCTCACTGCAACACACAATTTGGGGCAAATCCTTTGAGTTTTTAATCAGCAACAGAGAGTCATCCGCACGTCTGTCTGCTCACATCCCCGATCAAGAGACCTTTAATGTCACAAGTTTCTTATGCATCCATTCATGAAAGATTAAACTGGGGCATCATCACACATCCTTGTCTCGTTCTTACTCGGTGCTGAACCTTCAGCTAAGCATCCCATCTTCTCGCTCAATTTTACTTCCCTTCTGCTGGGTGCATTCAGCAATCGGCTATTAACTATTCATGTTTAACATTTTCTAAGTCAAGCCTATTGACTCAAACTGCACCCTTTTTCTAAAATTCATAAGCATGCAGTAAACTTTCCCTCCCACATTGCTGCATTCCTTAATGACGTGCTAGAGAGCAAAAACATGGTCTGCTAATTGTCGCCTTTTGAACCTGTTCAGGGTGAACTGTGGGAAGCCCCTTCGCTGACCCTCCCGGACCCAGCTGTTGCCCTTCCGATCCCAAATTCCCCCTTGCCCCATTTCTCTTCTTGCACAGGGGAGCAATAACGGCCTGCTTCCAATTCAGCCTCCTTCCCTAAGCCAAGCACGTCCATAATTTAGCATTTTTCCAGTTACACCACCTTTATCTTACATCTTTTTAGCATTCTGGCACCACTTATGACTTCCTCCATTTTTTCCCCCTTAGGCACCACTTTGGAACAGTCACTTTGGTTCCTGTCTGCGCTATCGCTGTCACTCTCATTCCCCAAATCTCCAACTAACGCCTCCCTCACTTCCGTTTCATCCCCCCCCCGACACTTTTATTTTTAATTCCATGCTCTTCACCGGAGGCGCCTTGTGCTCTAATTCGGTGCCACCTTTCATTTCCATCAACGCTGCCCTGCATTTTCTCTGCATTAACTCCGGTCTTAGCCAGTCCTCGCTCTCTCTGACGGCATCCTCTCCATCCCTGTTCGCGCTGCAGGAGGCCCCTGGCTGGTCCTCCCTTTGGGCAATTCCGCTCCGTTCTCAGGCACTGCTCCCCCATCCCTGGACACCCACACTTCAACAAGAGTCTCCCTCCATGCACTTCTGCGACCACCACAACCACTTTCCTTTTTGTCTCTTTCCATATGTCCATTAATGCATTTTACTGCACATCTGTGGCATCAAAACAGGACGTGGTCCATGTGACTTTCCATGTTCGGACACCTGCCTGCCGTTCTCATCTAATGTGAAAAGGGCTCAAAAGGCCGGCCCTGCACACTCTCCCTGGGGCCCCCCCTTTCCAGGTGTCCATGGGGGGGGAAAGAGCCTTGGATTGCAGGCACCCGAAGCACCAACTAGTGATGGTTATGATGCCCTTCGTCCTGGTCCTACCGCTGATTCCCCAGAGTGGGCTTTGCGTAGCCCGTCCTCCTCTTTCCTTACCCAGAGAGGCTTTTGCTTTGGGCAAATTAAAGCTGAACGTGCCCAAAGACCAACTTTCACCTAACCAGCCAAGTCTAACTGTGCCCTTCTGGGGAAGGGCATGGCTGGACCGCCTCGAGCTCCTTTCTCCAGGGCCTGCCCCTCAGAGCCCACCTGGGCACAGCTGCTGTACTCAGCGCTACATTTTGAAGGAGGGTGAAGGAATCTCGCAGGAAGCAGCTGGAGGCATTTTCAAACCCCTGGGGGTGCAGCCCTTGCTCCCACCAGCTGGTGCCCGCTGGAGATGCCAGTCGCTGGGCTCCGGCCTTCCCTCGGGCACCTCGCAGGACACGGGGAAGCCGGGCGATGGGCAACAGTGATTGAGACGACGGCAAGGAGGGCGGAAGAAGGCAAAGTCCTCCTGGACAAACCGCCGGGCAGACGGTCCGCCCGTCTCCGGCCTTTGCAACCATCCCAGGAGAGAGCCAAGAGACCCCAGCCCCCCTCCCCCCGGACCAGCCAGGCACTTACGGAAAGGAGGGGGGGTCAAAGGCGGACTTGATGACCCCCGCGTAGATGGCCAGGATGGAAAGGATGACGCAGCCCAGGAAGACCAGGGCAAACTTGTTCACGTACTTGACGCCCACGAAGACCACGGTGGCCATGCAGGTGAGGACACACGTCCCGTAGACCCTCATGTTGTTCAGCAGGGCGGCCGCTTCCCCACTGGCGTCCTCAGACTTGAAGATGGCCATTGGGGGGAAGATGTAGGCCTGAGGGGAGGCAGGAAGCGGGTCTCAGGGCTCCTCCTTCCCCAGTGGAGGGGCTTGGGGCCCTCTGCGCCCTTCCCTTTTGACCCGTGAGGCTCCCCACAAGACTTTCCGGGTCTTCCGGGTCATATCCGGAAGTTTAACGAAGAGAAGTTCTAGGTTGACATAATAGCAGCCTTCCAATATCTCAGGAGCTGCCCCAAAGAAGAGGGAGTCAACCTATTCTCCAAAGCGCCTGAAGGCAGGACAAGAAGCAACGGATGGAAACTCATCAATGGGAGAAGCAACCTAGAACTAAGGAGAAACTTCCGGACAGTTAGAACAATTAACCAGTGGAACAACCTGCCTCCAGAAGCAGTGAATGCTCCAAGATTAGAGGTTTTTAAGAAGAGACCGGACAGCCATTTGTCTGAAATGGTATAGGGCTTCCTGCCTGAGCAGGGGGTTGGACTAGATGATCTCCAAGGTCCCTTCCAACTTTATTGTTGTTGTTGTTGTTGTTGTTGTTGTTGTTGTTGTTGTTGTTGTTGTTGTTATTATTATTATTATTATTATTATTATTATTATTATTATTATTATTATTATTATTATTATTATTATTATTATTTCCAAGCCGGCACAGAGGCCGCTCAGCCGGTCATCCTTTGGCCCCCCGAGGGTCACCCACCAGGGGAGGCGGGGGGGGGGAGAAAGGAGAGACTCCTTGCAGCCCTTCAAAGAGCAACTCCCCCCACGGCCAGGTTTTCAGCACTCGTGTGAAGAGGGGGCTGCACCTTTCCCTTTGCCCAGTATGGATATTTATTTGGGGGGGGGAATTAAATGCCAGGTCGCTGCTTCTCGTCACAACGGATCTTTCTGTGCTGGTCTTCTCCCACCCGACATGCAATATTGTGGCTTTCTCCAGACGTTATAAATTGCCAGCGAGCGAGCGAGCCAGCCCTTCCCCATTCCCTTTCGGGGCAACCCCCAGCAGTTCGGGGGGGGGGCGACACTTCAGAGACGGTGCCAGCCAGGGAACCGGCCTGCTCAGGTTGCCCAGGTCAAACCCCGTCCGCCCCAAGGGAGCCGGGCAAGGCAGGGGGCGCCGGGGGGGGGGCAGGAGGGGCGGCCAGGAGCCGGCCTTGCCTCTCACCTACAGCGGAGGNTGGAAAAAGCTTTTCTCGGCTCTCAAATTGCAGAGTTACATAACCCGTAAGAGCGACTGGCTTTTGCTCCTTTCCCTGATAAAAAAAAACGCATCAGGTATCCAGAACATTTGGGGGGAAATTAGCTCGCATCCTACTGGGGAAAAATCCCCCTGCGCCTCCCTCCTGTCCCCGGGGGGCTTCTGTGCAGACCCCGGGTTAGGGTGCGGGCTTTCTCCCACCCAAGGGAGGGGGGGCTTGCAAGCACGACGTGCAAATGAATAAAAGAAACCGACGTCCCCCCCCACATGTCTGCCTCATCCTCCTTTGAGAAGCCTCGCCTGGAGGAGAAGGAACGGGGCCCGGGCGGTTCGGAGGGTCCCCCGGCTCCCCAGGCCAGGGCTGGAGGGGCCGAGAGCGGCCGCCCACCCAGGCCTGTCGCTGGCACGAGCCGCTCCACCGGGTGAGCAGAAGAGCTCGGGGTGGGGGGTAGGTGGGCTCCGTGTCTCCCCAGGCCAGGGGTAGGCAACCTTGGCTCTTTTATGACTCGTGGACTTCAATTCCCAGAATTCCTGAGCCAGCACAGCTGGCTCAGGAATTCTGGGAGTTGAAGTCCACGAGTCATAAAAGAGCCAAGGTTGCCTACCCCTGCCCCAGGCGCTCCCCCTGCCTGCCTGAACGCAGCCCAGCTCTGGGCTCCTTGAGGCAACCCGAAAACTGCCCCCTTGAGAACGGAGCTGCCCGTGTTGTGTGAACAGCCTCCGCCTCCAGGAGGTGAGTGCATTTGGCTCTCTTTTGTTGGCAGGCACGGGGGGGGGGGGGGCAAAGGTTTGCGTGCCAGCTTCCTGCCCTGCTTTTCTTCTGGCAGCTGCAGGGGCACCCAGGGCACCTTCCCCACGTCCCCTTCTTGTGCCAGGAGGCCGGTGCCCTCCCTGGCAGAATCTCTGCCCTGCCCTGCCCTGCCCTGCCCGCCCCCTCTCTCCTCCACTCACCAGCAGAATCTCTATGGTGCCCAGGATGTACATGGCACCTGCAAAGGTGGTGCCCAGGTAAAAGCAGAGCCCCACGGCTCCCCCGAACTCCGGGCCCAGCGAACGGGAGATCATGTAGTAGGAACCACCGGCTGGAGAGAGGAAGGGGGGGGAACCATTACCGGGAGTGACCCCTGCACTGACCCTCCCAGAGGCCACTAACACATCCCCCTAGCTGCACCCCTTCCCCAGGTGGCAAGGAGGCAAGGCTGCCCCCAGAGATGGAAACCCCTCCCTCTTGGGGCAGCCTCCCTCCTCTCCATCAGGTAGGTCCCTCAAGCACCCAGAGGGGCCCTCACTTTGTGCACCCCATTATTGCTGCCAAAGAAGGAGGGGGGTCACATGCAGAGGGAGCTTGGATCCAAGATGACCTTTACACAAAAGACGGGGGGGGGCTTCTGTGCCGGCCCCGATCCTTGCTTGTGCACGGCTTCGGGCAGCCCTCCCGAGTCCCTCCCTTTGGGGGGCAGGCGGGTCTCCCAGCCAGGCACCCACCGCCCCTCCCGGCTACCCACCTGGCACTACTCCGTTGGTGGCGATGGCGCTCATGGAGATGGCCGTCAGCATGGTCTGTGGGGAGAGAAGGCAGCCGTGTGGGCCCAGACCGGTGGGGGGGGAGCCCAGCAGCCCCTGGCTGCCCAAGAGGGAGGGAACTCTCTCGGGGGGGGGGCTGCCACAGGACGGAGGGGGTAGGATGGAAGCCGGGGTGAATGGGCCATCAGGGCTCAGCTCCTGGCAGGCTCGTCCGCCCAGGCAGCTGCCTCTGAGCCCGGCCCAAGCATGGCTGCCCTTCCAGGTCTGACTGGGCCACCCACTTCCTCCCCCTGGGACCCTCCCTGTGGGCCAATGGGGAGGGGGTCAAGCCTTTATCACGGTTGCAGGCTGGGCTATGGGCTGGACAGCGTGCTCAGGGGCTCAAGCAGGAGGAGCACATCTGGCCAGACCCTCCCCTGCCCGCCCAGCTGGCAGCCCCCGGCCGGAGGGGGACTCACGCAGGAGCAGCAGAGTATAACCATGCAGAAGGACTCCATGATGCCCGAGATGCCCACCACCCAGGTGAGGCGGAGGAAGAGGATCACGCCGAAGATGTTCTGCAGGCAGGGCAGGTAGACGCCCATGAAGGTGCCCATCCGCGTGGCCTGCAGGAAGAGCACGGGGCGTGAGGCTGGGCCCAAGCAAGGTGGGTGGGTGGGCTCCCTCCCTTCCCCCAGCAGAGGCCTTCCTGCCTCGGCCCTGTGGATTCATTCATCAGGCAACTGGAGAGGACCCACAAGCTGGGCACCCTCTTACCAGCAGAGAAAGAATGGGGCTGGGCTGCAAAACCCCACACTGCCACTGGAGGGCAATGTGGAGAACAAGAGGGAAGGCTGTGCTCAGCTGCCCCCTCCTGGTCATCCAGGCCCTGCAGCCCAGATCTGAGGCCTGGAGGAAGGAGAGGGGAGTGGGCGGGGGCGGCTCTTCTGCTCCCACCTGGCTGCTCTGTGCCCCCCCCACCTGCCCGCACCTTGACGGGCTTCTTCTTGGCCCCTTCGTTGTTCTCCGCCTCTTCGTGCTCTCGGCTGCCCTGAGGCAGGTTTGTGTAGTTGGCCAGGCCGCTGAGCAGGGAGGAGACCATGGGGCTGGTGTCCATCTCCTCCTGTTGAGGGAGCAGAGGGAGGGGAGGGCTGGGGGCCACTCTTGGGGAAGCCCCTTGCCCCTCCCACCCTGATCCTCCAGGTTCCTGGGGCCGAAGCTTCCCCTGCCCAGGCAGATGCCCCTCGCGGAGCCCTGGATGGGCTGCTCTGGCAATCCGGGGGCCTTTCCGGGTGAGAGGAGGAAGCTTCTGTGGGCCAGGCCCCTGGGAGGGTCCCCTCCCCTCCCCCCCACACCCTGCTGACCTCAAACAGCGCCATGTTCTTCCCATCGTATTCCTTCCCCTTCTCCAGGTCGGTGCTGTTGATGAACGGGCTGCTTTCTTTGGGGTTTCCATCACCTGCAGGGGAAGAGAGGAGCACTGAGACCGCCATGCTGAATGCCCGCTGGGCTGCCCCCCCCCCCGTTTTCTTTCACCAGCCTCGCGGGTCCAAGCCCGGCCAGCAGCCCTATGAGCCCATTCTCCAGAAGCCACCCAGAAGGTGAGGCCAGACTGGCTGGTGGGGCCCTTTGCTTGGGCACACCTGTGGGGGCCACATCAGGTTTCTAAGTCCAGGCTTGAAGCGGAGAACCTGCACAGCTGCCTGACCTGGGAGGGCTTGACCCAGGAGGTGACCTGAGACATGCAGAAGGGCTGGGAAACTTCAGCCTTTGGGAGGGCGGGGGTCCTGATGGGCAACGCCTAGTGCCCGTCCCAGTCACTTGTGGCGAGGCGGCTGATCTAGCCTTGTGCCCAGGATCAGCGGGTCTTCCCTGCCTGCCAAGGAGACTTTCTGAGGGACCTGGATATTGGCTCTCCACCTGAGAAGGCCACCCATCTCACGGGACTCGTTTTCCCCCCCAGATGGGTGGCTAACATCTGGAATGGCTCCAGGCACTCACGCCTCCGAGTTCCCCAATTCCAGAGCCATGGGATACACGAGGTCTCACTTATGGGCAGGGGGACGATTTCTGCAAAGGCTGGTTTGCTGCGTGGGGAGAAGACACTTGCCCCAGAGGTGTCCAGCTTTGGCAACTTTAAGACCTGTGGACTTCAACTCCCAGAATTCCCAGACAGCATAGCTGGCCGGAGAACTCTGGGAATTGAAGTCCACGGGTCTTAAAGTTGCCAAAGGTGGACCCTTTAAACCACACAATGCTCAGAGGAAGCAGAGAAGCCAAGCCCCCCCCCCGTCCCATCCCAAGAAGGTTTCCCACAACACCTTAACACCCAAACAGTGGCCATGTCTGCATTCCACATCCCAGCATGAAAGCTACACTATTGTATTGTGGGATCTCTCTCCCTCCCTCCCTCCCTCCCACACACACACACACACACACACACACACACACACACACACACACAGACAGACCTTTCCTGGGAAACTGAAACCTCTGGGTGAAAAACGCAACCTGCCCCTCAAAGTTACAGGTGGTCCTCGACTTACAACTACGACTGAGCCCAAAATTTCTGCTGGTTACCCCATTTTATGACCCTTCTGGCTGCAGTTGTTAAGTGAATCGCTGCAGTTGAAAGTTAGTAACCCGGTCGTTATGTGAATCTGGCTTCCCCACTGACTTTGCTTGTCAGGAGGTCGTGAAAGGGGGGGTGTCACATGACCCTGGGACACCGCGACCGTCCGTAAGTATGAACCAGCTGCCAAGCGTCTGAATTTTGATCACATGACTGTCGGGATGCTGCTGCAACTGTGAAAAATGGTCATGCCGCTTTTTTCAGTGCCGTCGTAGCTTTGAGCCGTCACTGCGCAAACTGCCAGGGACCAGCTGCGCTCCACGGCAGCCCCCATTGGCGCTTGCTGGGATTCCGTGTTGGGAAGCGCAACGACTGCGAGTGAAATGGGAAGGCCGACCACAGGACCGTCACGCGGGAAAAGGGCGGCCTCGCCTCGGAAGCAAGGATTCGGCAGCAGATCCCTGAGGATCCCAGTGGATCAGGTGAGCCACCCGGGGTCAGAGGCTTCAGAGGAGCCCTGGAGAACAGCGGCCTGTGAATGGTCGGGGAAGGCGGCTTCGCACTCTGAGGAAAACCAAGGTTTAATCACTCAAACGGACAGATTCACACCTTGTACCAACCAGCTGAGAAGCAAAACAAGTGTCACTTTTTCCAGGACTTTCTGGCTGGGCTCCAGGGAGAGGTCAGCTGAGCTTCCCTGGTGGCCTCTGCTCTGCCGGGTCCACTTGGACCTTCAGCTCCAGACAGCCCCCCGGCCTCTTCCTGGAGGCCCTTCCTGGCCAGGGACCGGATGCAGAGAGACCGACCCCCTGCTCAAATCTCTAGAGGCAGGGCTACCTCGCACAGGGTGCCAACCCCCCCCAAAAAAGCTCCAGACCGAAGCTGAAACCCCAGGGGGGCGGACTCTGCTTTGGCAAACATCTGAGCTCCGATGGGGTAACTCAACATGCCTGCCAGCCTGGCCCAAATCCTGCTTTCCATCCGGGACACTCGGAGAAATCAGCTATACAGGCCGATAAACAAAGTTGGGAGGATCTGGAGGGATCCCAGACGCCTGGGAAGTCCTTGCGACGCAGGGTCTGCAGCCCCTATTTCCTGACCAAGGGATGCCCGGCTTCTGCGACGTATAACCCCATGGAGGATTTCAGTCCCCAGAACAGGCCAGATGGGCCTGCCACTCTTGTAAGAGCCAGCAAGGCTCCTCCTGGGGGCTCCGGGCTGTGATCTTTGGCGAGTCACAGAGGACAGGAGAGGTGCCAGAGGGCCCGAGAAGGGCCAACGTTTTCCTGTCCTCAAAAACAGGGAAAAAGGACCCCCATGACCACAGACCTCTCAGCCGGACATCAACAACCACCGGAGAAAAGTTCAGAAGAGTCGATTTGTGAGCATTTAGCAAATCCTTTAGCCCGAGTTTAGCGAAAATAAATCATGACAAACAAATCTGGTCTTATTTTTGTGAGAGCGACCACTTTAGTTGACACGGGGAATGCAGTGCAGTGGACATAAATACCTAGACCAGGGGTAGGCCACCTTGGCTCTTCTATGACTCGTGGACTTCAACTCCCAGAATTCCTGAGTCAGCATAGACTTTAGCAAAACTTGGGACAAAGTCTTCATGAGGTTCCAGTGGAAAAGAGAACGAGTGTGGGCCGGACAAACCACCATTAGACAAGTACTGTGCTGTACCCTACAGAGCTGGGCAGAAATCAGGCTGCGAGGAGAGTTCAGTGGGACATCCTGGGCTCTGATTGGTCCCCTGTGGTGACCATCATCTTTACAAATCACTAACAAGAGGGATTAAAAAATACAACTGATAGAAGAGAATATTTGTAGCTCAGGGTTGAACTGTAGGGCCCTTGGTGCTCTCTGAGCTTGGTGGCTTTCTTGCAGACATTTCACGACCCAACTAGGTGACATCCTCAGTGCTAGAAGGGAGGGGGGTGTGGAGGAGGAGGAGGAGGAGGAGTGTGGGGTCCTTGGTGCTCTCTGAGCTGAGTTGTCTTTTGCAGACTTCATTACACAACTAGCTAATCTCATCAGTGCTAGAAAGGAGGAGGAGGAGTGTGGGGTCCCTTGTACTCTCTGTGCATGTTGCTTTTCTTGCTGATGTTTCATGGCACAACTACAGTAGTGCTGATGATAGTTTGCTAATGAAACATTTGCAAGAAAACCACCAAGCTCAGGGAGCACCGAGGACCCCACAAAAATACAACTGTTACACTCAGAGATGATGTAAACATTGGGGAGACTCACACGTAGACGGTGGTGACAGACAGGAGGATCTTGACCAGGTAGAACAATGGGCAGAAGGCAGCCAAGTGAATGTCAGAAACCCCAGTCCTACCCACAAGGCCTGAGTACGGAAGGGGAGGGACTATTCTAGGCGGAAGTACAGGTGGAAAAGACCTAGGAGACTTGATGGTCTCACAGTGGCCCAACAGGATGGTGCAGCTGCAAGAAAGGCAATTCCAGTAGGTGTACAATGTAAAGATGAAAAGAAACCACAATTCCTCTCTATCCTGCACTGGCCAAACCTTAGCTAGGATGCAGTGTCCACTTCTGGGCATTGCATTTGAGACAGGACACTGATGGGCTGAAGCCTGCCCAGAAGAGAGCAACTGGGAGGCCAAGGAGCCTGGAAGAAGCCACGATCGCTCTCCTCAAGGATCTGGAGAATCATCCGGAATTGTTTCCGAAAGCAAAATAAGAAACGGTGGGTTGAAGTTAGAAGAAAGCAGAGTTTGCGACAGATCAGGAAAAAATTGTTTAACAGACCGCCTCGGAAGTGGCGGTTCCTCCTTCACTCAACAAAGGCTGTTGGTTGGGGAGACCATTGTAGGAGACCCCTGCGTTGGGAAATGCGCTGGACTAGATAGCCTCCAGTGCCCATCCCATCCTTACGTTCTCAGATTCTGCCACTTCTGAAAAGGAGGACGGGCTGATCACAGAGGCTACTGAATGCTGGTCATCCTTGGTCATCCCGAGAGAGAATATCCTGAAATTTGCAGGATCCAATCTGGGTCACCGGTCACCAGGACCAGTGGTGTTTGTCTTCCGAGCTTCCAGACGTGTGCTGGGGCCCGTCCCCGGGGAGGACGGGCTCAGCACACGTCCGGGAGCTCGGAAGACAAACACCTCCGGTCCCGGTGACCGGTGACCCAGATTGGATCCTGCAATGTGATTCCGGGACACGTAGATTTGCCTTCATTCACTCTCAGATTTACTGGAAACTGCTTCACTGCAGGTTCTCCTCCTTCTCCCAACAGCAACAGTGCTCAGCCCGTCCATCCTCTCCTGACTGCCGTGTGGCCAACGGGAGAATATCCTGTTCATCTCCTCCAGCTGTGCCTTGCAGGCCTTGCCTTTCCCCCAAATGACCTTGCCTGGATGTCCACGAGAAGCCCAGGAGCTCTCTGCCCACGCCCAGACCTGCCCATCCCCCTCTGATGAACGCAGGAGCCATTCCTAACATCCCTCCTTTGAGTAATCTGCATCCACGTTGCTCCTTCCAGACCCCAACAGCCTCCAGGCCCCAGGAGGAGACGTTGACTGGATCAGAATAACAGAGCTGGAAGGGACCTTGGAGGTCTCCTAGTCCAACCCCCTGCTCAAGCAGAGGACCCTATTCCAGTTCAGACAAATGGCTGCCCAGCCTCTTCCTAAAATCCTCCAGTGAGTATCCATAACTTCCAATACAGAATGCGTGTCAACCATACCGTCCCTATGCTGATGATACAGTTGGTTTCGTCAGCAGACGGATGGAATTGCACCCCAGATGGCAGGATGTCCCCTTCCACTGGCAAATCCAAACCCTTTAAGGCCGGCCTTCCACCCCCGATGCCCAGAGAGGCCTCCTGCTGGATACGCTGACCTGCCACTTGCCCCTCGCACAGCCCAGTGGCTTCCCAGGCACCTCTTTGCCCACGTGCTGAAGCCGCCCTCTCAGGCTGCCACCGGGATGCTCTCCGGGTTGCTGCTTATCGGCCCCAGCATCCTTTGCGCAGAGGCTCTGGTCCACTGGCCTCCAGTGACAGATGGCCCAGTTGGCCAGGGTGCCCGGCACTAGCTCAGCAAGTTTCCGCTCTGCCACCAGACCCAGAGCAGCCAGGGGCAGTCAGCTAAACACTCTGTAAAGCAATAGCTCTGCGGTCATAAAGACATTGAAGTCCACCCCCCCTTAAACTCCCCCATCCCTCACAGTTTGAGGGATGAGCATTCTGGCGATTCGGTTTGGAGCTGGATGGCCACTTTTTCAAAACCTATTTCTTATGGGAGACCGTCT